TGGAAAGAGCTTAAAGTCTGGAGAAAAGAATTTCATTTCGCTATAACGCAGGATTTCTTATCAACAATAACAATAATAATAACTAAGTTTTGAGTGCCAGCTGTTTCTGAGTTGTGTGATGTGCATGTACAGAGAAGACATACATAAAATGATCATATGTGCTGTGGCATTTATACATCAGGTCATGGACTCTTCAGATATGAAACCGAGACTCGGAGAGGTAGGTCGAGTAATTTTCCCAGCCTTAAAATTGGTAAACATTGTTATTGGTCACCCTAAGGTCAAAAACCCTACTTGGAATTTTATAAAATGAAAAAGAATGCTCTTAGAAGGCTGATGATTATTTCCAGTTATAAACGAGTCAGGTAACTCCCCGAAACACATCTCACCATCAGTTCTGAGTAGCATTAAGTTTAACCAAATTCCTTATGAAACGTCTTTTGATCCTTGGTTAATGGTTTCCTACCAAGAGCAGTGTGTTCCTGAAGTTTGTTATTGGAGCGATTTAGCTTCGGCTGTGCAGTGTGATGAGAAAGGGGGGCCTCTGAGTTAAAGAAAAGATGAAATGTGTCCAGTGTGTCCAGACGGTAGGCTTACGTCTTCCTAGTTCTCTGTCTTTGGGAAAGTTATTTAGCCTTTTTGAGCTTCAGTTTTCTCATCTCAAAAAATGCAGACCATGTTAATGAGGATAATAATCTACTTCGTAGGGTTTTGGAAGTAGTAAGTACAATCATGCCTGACACATTAGAAGCCCAAATACTTGTTAGATATTATTGATTATTATCAACCCATTTAGATTGTCATCGAGAGATCACTGTTCGCTCACAGAATGAAGTGAGGGGTCCAACACTTACACGATTATATTTTTTTGGTTGTTTTCTTTGGGGGGGAGGAGGCAATTTTAGGTGTTTTTTTGTTTTGTTTTTCTTTTAATGGAGGTGCCGGGGATTGAACCCAGGACCTCGTGCGTGGTAAGCACGTGCTCTACCACTGAGCTGTACCCTCCCCTCCCCACTACACAGTTGTATTTTTTAATTCTTTGGAGAATGGGCATTTTTCTCTGGACCAAGGTATCTCCAGAAATAGGTCCTGAGGAACAAATGAAGTGTTGAGAATGCCCATGTCTTGTTGATTTTTAGTGTAATTAAAAGAAAAAGCAAACTTTCCTACAGAGGCGCAGCACTAAGCGGCAGCCCAGCCCAGGGACCCCGTAGCCAATCAGCACGCCTGCATTCCAGGGCTTCCTGCCGCCCCGTTGCCGCGTGTCGTCCGCTCCTTGAAACTGCAGGAATCTGCCTGGGCAGGTGTGGAGAGCCTGCTTGAATTATTTCGGGTGCATGAGAGAGCAAATTATTTAGGCAACAGAGCTGAAAATGTGGGCAAATTAGACTTTTTCATAGCGAGATTGTTCATTGTTAAGCCAATTCATGATCATGTGTGTGCATCTTGCTTCAGATATCCTATACACAATAAACCTCTTTGCTGCAATGAATATGGATGGGGACTAATTTAATCAATACTCTTGTGACAGTAGCGGTGTCTGACAGATTTCATCCTTTGAAATACTGGCTGAGTTAATGTGTGCAGTATATATGTGGGCCGAGAGTCGTGATTTGTGTTAAAAGAAGATTATTTTGAAAAGACACAACATTGCCTGTTGGAAAATGGAAAAGCCTGAGGGACAGAAGGCAAAGGGCAAGGAGATTTTAGTCGTTCCTCTCTTACAGGTCTGAAAACTCAAATTTATGGCACGAAACTGCTTACGTTTTGAAAAATTTGTAAGGCAGTGACTACATTTTTTTTTCTCTCCTGGATATACTTGAATTCTGTAAATTGGCTAAAAGGTGGATGGAGGTGGCTTTTGTGTGTTGTTGGATTATATGGAAGACAGAGGAAGTATTCTGCTCCAATCTGCAAATGTTTGCTTTCTGGAAAGATCAACACGTGATCAGATCGCGTTCAGAGAATTTGCCTTTTGGAGCAGGTGGATTTTAGTCATTTCCTAAAGAGCACTTGAAACTGAAATTGTCTTCTGAGATAAGAGAGCCACCCTGGGAGTAGGCTAGTGGGATGGTTTAATCTGACCAGTCAGTATCTGAAACTGGCTCTGGAGAACCCTCCCATCAGCTCACCATGAGGTTCCTAAGGAAACTGATTCTAACTAATTCAGGATCTTCGGCCAACATTGCCCACTGGAGCCAAGCACAGTGGAGAGGAGATGGGGGAAGTTCTCGGCAAACAGCCCTTAGCTTGAAAATACAGGACACTCACTCTACAGTAAGTCCATTCATACCAAGAATCTTGGCCCCCAGAAGTCTTGTAAAATATGTCTCAGCTTGAGTTCCCTGCACATCTGAACGACCCTGGGAGCTGAAGCAAGGCTGATAGCCAGAAGTTGGGGGGCCTGACTCAGGCCAGCCATCCTGTGCAGCAATGGCACCAAACTCTGGCTTTGCACTACAGTGACTTTCCCACTACACCCACCCCCGCTCACACCCTCTCCCCAACCAGGCTGTGAGCCACTGGGAGGGTGGGACCTACTGGGCCAGGATGGCAGTCCAGGGGCCTCCCCCGTCATGAGCAGACTCCTCCACATGAGACCTCCGGATCACTTGCAAGATTACAGGAGTGATTTTGGTCACTGCCTTAAACATCATCGTGTCACTTCTCATGGGTAATCCACTAAGAGTCCAGGCAGAATGAACCGCAATACATCATTTTCCATTTGATCCAGGGACAGGTTTACTTGGTGTCCCGTATCTGGCCTGTCCAGGGCTTTCCTATCTTATAAGGGCCTTAATACATGTGCTTGGCCTCCCTATGTTAAGATGGGATGAAGATACCTCTCGAAAGACCTGGGCTTAGTGCTTGTGTTGCTTTAATATCTCAGAGTTTTGATGCCGACTTCAACTAACGTCCCAATGAGGTTTGTCTGTCTAATGTCTGTGATCACAGCTTGAGGTGAGACATAAGCAGAAGAAGTTGAGTGTCCGTCTTCTTTATTTCTCGTACAAATTACGTGTAATAGATGGTCCAAGTACTTCATGTTGCCTGATTAATCGATTCCTTAGGGCTTGGGGTGGGTGAGGCTGGTTCTGATTACAGACTAGTTAACTCATATGGGAATATCCAGGCAATAACTTTCAGCTGGTAACATCTTGCAGCATTTCTCTCCTACCACTTGGCTTTTGTGAGTCTCTAAATAAATACTGAGCATAGCCGTCCCTCTTTCGAGTTGCAGGCGATCGGTGGCACAAAACTTTGTCTTGACTGTATACTAAAAATATGGGAAGGGCAGAAGTGTGAAACATGATTAGGGTTCAGATGTCATAAAGAAGTTTCCCCGAAGAAATCAAGCTAGACTCCAAGATGAGGAAGCAGACTTGGAGATGATCACTTTTGTTCAATGTGATCTTATAACACGATAAGTTGCATAAGGCAGAATAGACATATTAAGCAGTGAGCAAAGACACTGATGTGGGGGTATCGGAAGGCTTCAGGATTATGGCACGTTGATTGGATGTGAGACTTTGAGCAGTCTGTGACTTTGGGCAATCAGACTCAGTATGGCAACACTAAAAGTGGTTGATAGGAAAGGATTCTCCTTCTGGAATGGCCTGCCCTCCGTGAAGGTCACTGCAGTCCTTGCAGTGGTCCCCTTGATGGAAAGTTAGCAGGTCCTCATGGTTTACGGTGAGGTTAAATCCAGAAATTTAACATGTGCTCTTTCAAAGCGTTCAATACAACATTGCATCAAATCCAGAGTAAGTGGTTGTGGAAGTGATCCCAGGATATGAGATTCTGCTGGAAGAAAGAGTGGGCTCTGTGTGTATGTGTGTTATTTACTTTGTGCAATACATTCCTTGGACAAGCCATTGCTTTGTGTGAGGCATGACGCTAGTAGGGGCTGTATGAAAATGAAATGCACTGGGGCACTTGCATTTGTGTGTGTGTGTGTCTTAGTAGATAATCTGACATGATATCCAGTCATAAAAACCATGAAAAATAAATTGAGTGTAATGCAGCATTCCAGGTAAACTGGTGAACGGTGCCGTCCTATACAGACAGCTCACTGTTGGTTCTTTATTTCACATATAAATTATAGTTAATAGTTGTCCAAGTACTTTGTTTTGCCTAATTATTCTATTCCTTAGGTTATTTTTAATGCTTAATTATGCTCTTTCTAACTCTGCTCAATATATTTGTTTGCTTAGAAATGTGTTTTGTCATATTTGAGAGCTTTGGTGTAATATACCCTAATTATTTGGTTCTTCCTCCAGCATGAGGCACCTTTAAGTAATCATTTGGTTAGAAACACACGCACGCTGTACCGAGAAATCAATTTCCAATGTTCAAGAACTCAGAAGCTACCTGTCCTGTTTGTCAGGATTCATCATTCTTAAATTCAGATAGGATATTAACTTTATGGCTGAAAGGTTTTGATCGTACAACAAATGGGCTAATTTTTAACACATGGCGACTATGTTAATTAAAAAAGGATGAGTAAGGAATTCTTACCGTCATATGTAACTTATTAGTGTTTTGAATGGAATCATTTTCCTGAGAAGTCTTGATTTTCTGGAGCATATTTTTCCCGCCAGCCAAGCTACAATGCTCAGCCAAGACAGATTTATGACCTTTTAAAAATAATGATGGAAAATGAGATGGGAGGAAACATTTTAGTATCTGCTTTGCTCTGAGGCCTAAACTGCGAACTCTCCAGTTCTTGAAGGCTTTGAAATGCTGATTCCAGTCTTCTTGTGGGTTCTTAAACACCTTCTCAAATGACCCATTTTAATAACCCGAAAGCTATTATATAACGAGCAGCCATAATTTAGTCCAGTGCTCTAGGGGGACCCTCACAGTTCAGCAATGAATAGTTAATGCAGTATAATGTTTAGCAGGTTATTAGTTTTCACTATACAAATGCTGATCAGGGAACGCTTTTATAAGGTGTTTAAAAGAAAATGTAATTAACCGGTTGCGTGCTTCTGTTGCAGCTCAAATTGAAATTATTCCATGCAAGATCTGTGGAGACAAATCATCAGGGATCCATTATGGTGTCATTACATGTGAAGGCTGCAAGGTAAGCCTTTTTAATTGTTGTTTCCATTCATGTTAGGATGTAGCTCTGTGATTTTTTTTTTTTTGACTTCTCTGTCTAAAAATTCAACTCCTTGGCATTTTGAGTGACGAGAAATGACAGGAGAAAATAAATATTTGGATGTTCATTACGACTGAGGAAGTTATGTCTGTTTTTACTCCTCCCATCGAAATAACGGGAGGCCGGTATCAGAAAAGTTTTTGAATGCTGCTTGTTTGTCGCTTCCAGTCCCAGAACTGATTGATCTGGTGAACAATCTCTTTGGTTCTCTTTTTTTCCAAAAAAAAAGAGATGACTCTAGACTTCCGTAATGTCCCTGTTATTAGCTTTATAAGAAGGCATTTCCAAAAAGTTTGATGGGAATGCGATTGAAAGTCTTATTGTTGGCTCACAGATGTTGACACATCTGGCCAAATGTTGGCCGGGGTTTTGCAAAGAACTTGAGTTTCAAACTGGTGTCTCCCTTTGTCCCTGCTGTTCTGGGGCATGTCTTAATCTTTCAGCGACTCTTTCTTCATCTGTAAAGTGACATTCTTCCCACCTTTTAGACCCCTTCCAAGACTATTTAACGCTGTAAATAAAAGTCCGTACAAACTGAAAAGTGCTATTTAAATCCAAGAGTCTAATTGCTGTTGTTACGGTTTTAAGTATTACTGACACTGGTCTCGGGACAGCGGATACCAGCTGGTGCATCGATGTGGGAACGGAAAATAGAGCTGTTTACCCTAATCATTCAAGACCCCCAAACCTAGATTGTTCTGTTATTCAGGTTTCACTGTATTAAGAGTTAAATCCTCCTGCTTGTATTGGAAGAGCCTTGAGACAGCTTACAGGATAAAACAGTGCAAAATAAACAGGAGAGACGCCCTTTAGACCTGCAGGAGGCCTCCGAGACCATTGATTGCCCCCGAGTCGGGCCTCACTTAGCCCTAAGGCAGTTTGAGGCTGAAGCAAAAAAATAAAATCTACAAATTTGGTTAGCCTTCCTTTAGTAAAGTTAGAAAATACAGCGTCATAAAACACAAAACCACCTTCAGACACAAATAACTACTGAGAAAGGCTTCAGGGACA